CATGCAGCTGGTTTCGGCCCCACCGAGGGGCCCACTTCTCGATGCATGGGCGCCTCCCGGCGCCGGGAGGCGCCGGGAAAATCAGCTGCGTGAGCTGATTCTCAAGCCCCCCCTTTGCTATCCCCCCCTTTCGCCCGACCCGATACACGCCACCAGTACCTCCCTCACCCCCCTCCCTCGTCCCAGGAGCGAGGAGAGGCAGGGGAGGGTAGAGGATTGGGAAGGGAGGAGGAATCGACGTGGAGGTGGTGGTGGTGGTGGTGGTGGTGTATGTTCTTGGGGCCCGCGAGGCAGCTCGGCGATTTTCTCGCGTGGTTGCTCAGCCTGGAGCCAGAGGACCGCCGTGGAGCGAACGAGTCTTTGCGGGAGACGGGTTCAGAGGCTCTCGGCCGCCAGCAGGATCCCAGAGCCTTCACGGGCCTTGGGCCTGTCGGAAAACGACTCAGGGTGCAGTGCTGGACTTGGGGGAAGATCGCGGCGTCCAGGACCCGTGTCATTTATGATGGGCGAATGTTCCACCACCGTTGCCACATGTTGCATGCAGGACGGGGGAGAAGGGAGGATGAGAGGGTTTTCCTCTTCTTCCTCGTCCTCCTCCTCCCTCTCCTGTCAGTGGTAGCGTTGGTGGAACATGGGCTCGTCACATTAGGATCCGTTCTTGCCATGCCGAGATGAGCAGGATGAGCAGCTGCGCGCCGCATACGCCGAGCTGGGCGTCTGTCAGGGCTGCTCGAACAAGGACGAGAGGGCTTGAACCAAACGAGCACGCTGGCACAGCACGTGAAGTACTCATGATGATGCCCCAGCGGGCGTTGAGTCACATTGGTTGAAGATGGCAAGGATCAGAGTAGGAGGGGAAGGAGGAGGAGAAGGAGGAGGACGAGGAGAATGAGGAGACTTTTGTTGTCGCATTGGAGGCCTGCTGGCCTCGTGGGGGCTGTCTCATTGGCTCTCTTGGCGACCTATTGGTCAAGAGTGAGAGCCTCTTGTGGCATTCTTGGGCCGTCCTTGGGCGACGTTGATGGAGTATTCTTGAGCATTCGTGACGCCCTTTGCGAGCCATCTTGAGTCGTCGTGTCGGCTTCCTGAGTCATCTTTGGCTTTTCTGGAGGCCGTCGGGTGCGGTCTTGGATAGTTGTTGGGGCTCTCTGAAGCACTCCTGAGGTCATCGTGGGCCGAAGGGCTGCCTGGAGTCTCTCTTGAGGTCCCTGGCATCTCGCACGCTTCCTGGAGGCCACCTCGGCCGTCCTGGCGGCCTTCCATGACACGCGTGGGGGGCTCCCGTGCATCCTGGCTCTCCTGAGGGCGTCAATCCCTTCCCATCCCCGCCAATCGCGAAAATCGACCGTGAAAGAAAATTTTCAGGGAGGGCCAGGCATCTCCCTCGCTGGTACCCCAGGGTTCGGCGGCAGACTCTGAGGTCATGAGTCAGAAACTCCACATTTCGGCAAACCGACCTTTGTCCTTTACATGCTTCAGCTGGCAATGAGGAGCTGCGCAGCGCGTTCCGCAAGGCCGCGCTGTCCCGGCACCCGGACAAAGCGGGCCTTGGGAAGCCCCGCGCGAACGAGCGTTTTGCCGAGCTCACGGCGGCCATGGAGCTGATCCAGCAGTCCCGGTAGCACCAGAAGCGGAGCATTCTGCCCTGGAAGCGGTCGGGAATTGGGGGCCTGGGGGGGAAGCACAGCCGAAGCGGGCTGGCGGCCAGGCGGTCTCAGAGGAGCGCGGAAGCACCCGTCCGCCAAGAGCTCGCCATCCAGATTTACAGAAGACCAAGCTGCCCTTCCCCCTGAAGCCCTTCTGCTGGAAAAGACATCTTCATCGTTCGTCTCGTGGACGCGCGAGGGAGAGGCGGGTCGATGTTTCGGACACATGTCCGTCTCGTCGTCTAGATACATGTGTGTGCGCAAGTGTGTGTGTATTTCTGTGCGCAAGTTTGCAGGGGAAGCTGACACGGGTGCAATTGTCGCGCACTAGAAGACAGTCGTCACGTCCCAATCTCTAACTTTGGTTCCGGGCACCAGTCGCTTAATAGGAGGCAGATTTCAAACAGCGCGAGCATTTGCAGCATTTGCAGCCATCGCATTGCTAATCACAGTTGTGAGGTTCAGTCTGGCTTGTTGTTCTGGTTTGTCTATTGTTTGCGCTGGATTTCCTCCGCGCATGCATGTAGATATACGTGCGCGCATATCACGATCGAAGTGTGTACCTATATGCATGTAGCGATGTAGAGGCGTTGCTCATACATCTCAGGAAACGTCACTCAGACGTTGTGCACGAACTCTTGGGATGAGGAGGATAAGGGCTCGTGATACCGTGACCGTCCTGATGGATGTGTCGTGTTGAATTACGAAGGATGGTAACTCCTTTCTTGATGCCACATGACAGCGCACGTTGGCATCATGTTTACTGGAATGGTTCGGTCGCCCCTTCTGCTAACGCAAAAGCACGCGCAGCAGGTCGCGCACTCATATCGCGGCGCAGTTGTCGGCCAGTTCGGATGAAGGTCGAGGCGTGATCCAAGTGAAAGATAGATAATGAATGAGGCCCGCCAGTGTGCACGAAGGCGGTGGCTCAGCCGCGCTGCAATATACAATGTGCGTTGGGTCAGGCGTTCGCAGCTCATCAGAGGCAGCCAGCGATGGCCAAGGCACCGTTCGACAATGTGCGTTTTTTCGGCGAGGACCATCGAGGAACACCTTGGATGACATGCACCCACGACATCGAACAATGCACGGGGAATGGACGTCTGGGCGATAGTTGACACTGACTACTGCACATGAGTGTTCACCCTTCCCCGTTGCCTATCACTAAGCACTCACTGCCCGCCAAACCGTACTCATTACCAACCATCCCTTTGTTCATTACTCCTTGCTCTGCATGTCTACCCGTTCCACGCTACCCGATACACATTCCGATCGCCCTACCCCCGCCGCATACACAGTATTTGCTCGCTTGTTCCTACCCGAATCAACAAATCCTTGACTCATTGTCTTCATCACTCACCGCACATAACCAGCGACGCCCATCGATGGTCAGGTTCACGCCCGTTGTTCTGACAACATCATGCATTAGCAGGTGCAGCATGATAATGAATCCCTTGTTCTTCACGCCGCCACTAATGACGGCCATCCCAGCAGCGGCAATTTGCCGGCGGTGAGGACTTCGACATCCTTTGCGAGGCTATCGACTCTGTAGGTCAGAGCTCTATTGCCAGGAGCGCGTCCCCAGTGCCTTCCCCATCCCTTTTGTCAGGATTGTGAAGCCTCGAGAAGACGATGAACTGCTTGCTGGCGCATTTTCTGACCCCCCTGGAACCCGCCCCCAAGAGGCCGTCCTCCTTGTGACTCGAGGCATAGCTCCTCGGCACCTGGGGATGTCCATTTGGGGCCTGGAGGTATGCGTTCAACGTCCAGCTTCCTGTCACTGGGGTTCTGATGTTCCGACCTACTCTAGCCTTGATCAGCAGAACACTTGCGAGCAGCAGGAAAGTACCAACCCTGGAGTGTTTACACGTGTCGAGCCCCGGGAGGCGAAATTCGCTCGGCACTTCGCCAGCGTGTCGGGCAGACAGTGTTTCGATGCTTGTCTGGGTGTTCGTTATGATTTCTGGGATGTGGTCCTTCAGTACGAGGGGAACACACCGCTGGGGGGTGAAGCGTCAGGCCAGGCAACCTTGTGGGATACGTCACGAGGCCAGCAGCGCCCGATGCTCGCAGCGATCCCACCGCCGCGACCAGGACCCGAAGGGAGTGGTGTTCTTTGCACTCTTCAGGAGGGAACAACACATAGGCACAATGAATCGTCGATCCCTGGGAAAGTCTGGGAAACTATGGGACGTTTGGGGAATACGAACACCCAGAATATACAATAAAATGTTGGGAGTCCTGGGATCTGTGCGTATTTATTCCCTACCTAGGCTCTGCCTAGAAGGGTTCTTACCCTGTGTGCTTAAAGGGCCGGGCAGTGTAAACCGCCCCGGGCGGTTCCCCCGGCATCTGCCCCGCGGTTCCCCCAGTTACGTCTCCTTAGCTTAGCGTTGCTTATCTCATCTTATCTTAGCTTATTTCATCTTAGCTTAGCTTAGCTTCATCTTAGCTAATGTGTATATTAGCTTAGTTTACCTTCATATTAGCTTCGCTGAGCTATAGCATGGCAAAGCACAGCATCGCATAGCATAGCGTAGCATATCATAGCGCAGTACAGCATATCATAGCATAGCCCAGCATAGCATAGCATAGCGCAGCATAGCATAGCGCAGCACAGCATAGCATAGCGCAGCACAGCATAACATAGCATTAGCATGGGTGTAATTCCCTACCTAGGCCCTGCCACGAGGGTTAGCTTAGCTTAGCTTAGCATAGCGCAGCGCTGCATTAGCATAGTATAGCATACCATAGTCAAGCATAGCATAGCACAGCATACCATAGCATAGCATAGCATAGCATAGCGCAGTGTAGCATGGCACAGCATACCTTAGCATAGCACAGCGCAGCATGACATAGCATAGCTTAGCATAGCCTAGCATAGCATAGCATAGCATAACATAGCGCATCATATCATACCATAACATAGCATAGCATAGCGCAGCATAACATGGCGTAGCATAGCATAGCATAGCATAGCAAGTACTGCTGCCTTCCTAGCTAGGTAGGGTCGCACTGGGGTAATGTGTGTGTGTATCTTTTGGCCCCTTCGATGATGTTCAACGACGTGTCGGGAGCTGCCCCGGATAACCTTCCAGAGGCCCCCTGGCACATCTCAGACCCGACGCCCAGGACGCTGGGGCTGGGCAGCCAGGGAGAGAGAGAGGAAGCGGAAGGTTCGTGGACACGCCATGGGTTTTCGTTGTTTTGTCAAGTTCTCTTGTCGGCGGCGAGCTGATCGACGACCAGTCGACGCTAACCGAGGTCAAAGCGGCGCTATCTCATCGACTTCCAGACGCCAATCGACGCTAGTGACGGACTTCAAAGGGTGCACCAGGCTCCCATGATTTGCGACCGAAAGATTTCCAAGATCGGCGAGAAGGCCTTCTCAGAATGCGGCGGGACTTCTCGGAAGCCCTCTCGCCTTCTGAGAAATTTCTGTGTCTTGGGGGAAGGCTTAGGAGACTCCCCAGAAGGCCGTGGGACTTCGAACCTTCTGCGAAGGCATTGTCCTTCTCACCTCCCCCCTGGGCTCGCCGCCGATCTTGGGAAACTTTCGGTGGCAAACCATGGGAGCCTGGTATAACCTTTTAAGTCTGTCATTCGCGTCGGTCAGCGTCTGGGAGTCGAGGAAATAGCGCCGATTCGCGTCGACTGGCGGCGAGTAGCGTCGATTCGCAAGAGCCGACAAGATGGCATGAGAGGTTCCCATGAGTTGCCACCGAGGAATCTTGGTTCGTGGGGTAGGTCTGCTCGTCTGCGCAAATCACTACTACAGCTACTTCGGCCTTCTGGTATCAGCGGAGGTGCGGTCTGAAAGAGGGTGGGGTATTAGCCAGCAGAACGTTGCATTCTGGACGTGTTGGCTGACCAGTTGGTAGAACATTGCCGAGGTCACAAAAGCGTACGTGCGGCTCAGCTCCTCGAGAGGAGGAGCGATGAGCCGGAGGACCCCGACTACTCAGGTAGTTGGGCTCCAAGGCCCCCAAAGCCCGAGACTAGGGGAGCAAATCATGACATACACATAAAAACAACCCGGAGGTCCGCGCGGATTTCTCGGATCCGCGTTGGGGCCCCTTGGCGGCCCCTTCTGCGCCGCCCTTGGCGCGGTCCGCGCGCCAGGGAGGGGGGCCTAGCGCGGATCCGAAAAATCCGCGTGGACCTCAGAGTTTTTATGCTTATGTCAGTCTTCGTATCCCGAAGTACCTCATCCAGCCCGTGCGTTCTCCTTGGCATCGCTCGGATGTGTGCGTGTTTTCTCGGTGAGGACCATGGAGGAGCATCATGGAGCATCGGGCGCAAACAATCCCTTGTGACGTACACAACCCATTCGCATCAAGTGGCAAGAGGAGTTGGCCCAAATTGGCCAGGGCAATGCCAGCGCAGGCGCCGTTAGATGTTGTCCAAGCTACATGGGGCGCGGTCACGTGGCACGATTCACAAGACATCACCGGAAGGACGAGGAGCGATCGCCCAGGCTTGAGAAAGACATGGGGGAGGGTACGAAGGGCAGGACAAGGACGCGGCGGGGTGGGCGACCCGTCATCGCGGCAGCAACAGAGGGAAGGTGGCTGGTCGCCGCGGCGTTCGACAAACGGATTAAAACTGCTTATCCTTAGCGCAAGAAGCGAGCGAAGCCTAACTCGCTCGCCAGCTTCCCTGCTTCCTTCCCACACTCTTCAGCGCGGGAGCTAAACGTTCGAAGGCGCGCCGCCAGGTCTACGGGCGGTCCGCGACAACGTCGATGGATCCTCCTGCAGCCCTCGAAAGTGGTGACAGCTTCGCAGATCGCAGCCCCCCAGGGACGGCGAGGTCTAACATGATTCTGGGTGGTGCCTCACCCCGCTGAATCCCCCAGCAGCCCTCGAAAGTGACGACAGTTTCGCAGATCGCAGCCTCTTAGGGATGGCGAGGTCTAGTCTGAGTTTGCTGCACGTCGGCAGCTGGCGGCGCGGGAGCGGCGGCTCGCGCGCCGAAGCCGCCCGACCAGTCGCGCCCCAGGGCACGCTGAGCCCCAGCAGCCCATGAAAGTGGCGACAATTTCGCATATCGCAGCCCCCCAGGGACGGCGAGGTCTAATATGAGTTTGGGCGGTGCCTCACTCCGCTGAACCCCCCAGCGCCCTTTCGAAAGTGGCGGCAGTTCTGCGGACTGCAGGTCAAATCTGAGTCTGGGTGGTGTCTCACCCCCGTGGCCCCCCCAGCAGCCTTCGAAGGTGGTGTCAGCTTCGCAGATCGCAGCCCCCCAGGGACGGCGAGGTCTAATCTGACTCTGGGTGGTGCCTTACTTCGCTGGACCCCCCAGCGGACTTCGAGAATTTCGACAGTCTCGCAGACCGCAGTCCCCTCAGGGTGGCGAGGTGTAGTCTGCGTCTGGGTGGCGCCTCATTCCGCTGGAGCCCAAGCAACCTCTTGAAAGTGGAAGCAGTTCTGCACATCGCAGCCCCCCAGCGACGGCGAGATATAATTCGGGTGTGCGGCGGGCACCCACTATGCTTGCCCCTTCAGCCAGCCCCAGAAGTTGCGACATATTCGCAGATCGCCCCCCCCTCCCCCCCCGAACGGCGAGGTCTAATCTGAATCCCCGGCGGGTACCCACTATGTTGGTCCCCCCAGCAGCCCTTGTAAATGGCGACGGTTTCGAAGATCGCAGCCCACCATGGGATGGCCAGATCGAATCAGAACCCGCAGCGAGTATCCACTATGCTGGCCCCCCCAGCAGCCCTCGAAAGTGGCGACCGTTTCGCAGATCGCAGCCCACTAGGGATGGCGAGGTCGAATCAGAATCCGCGGTGGGCACCCTATGCTGGCCCCTCCATCAGCCTTCGAAAGTGTTGACAGCTTCGCAGATCGCAGCCCCCAGGGATGGCGAGGTCCAATCTGAATCCGCGGCGGGTGCCCATTGTGCTGCCCCCCCCCAGCAGCCAATGAAAGTGGCGACAGCTTCGCAGATCGCAGCCCCCCAAGGCTGGCGGGGTCTAATCTGAATCCGCGGCGGGTGCCCATTATGCTGCCCCCCCCAGCGGCGTTCGACAGTGGCGACAGCTTCGCAGATCGCAGCCCACCATGGGATGGCCGGATTTTATCTGAATCCGCGGCGGGTGCCCACTATGTTGGTCCCCCCAGCAGCCCATGAAAGTGGCGACAGCTTCGCAGATCACAGCCCCCCAAGGAAGGGGTGGTCGAATCAGAATCCGCGGCGGGCTCCCACTACGCTGGTCCCCCCAGCAGCTTCGAAAGTGTTGACAGCTTCGCAGATCGCAGCTCCTAAGGCATGCCAGCTTCACACATCGCAGGCCCCACAGGCAAGCCACCAGGCGCACAGGAGAAGAGAGGAGAAGGGAGGCGGGCAGAAAGAGGAGACGGAGGTTGGAGACAGCAGTGCTCTACCCAAAGCGAGAACCCAACGCAGGAGGGTGGGAACAAACACGCACGAAAGCGAATACTGCACTGGGAATGGGTGCCCGAGCGATGGCAAGCCTCCCGCCGGAGGAGCCAGATCTGCGTGGTGCTCGCCGTGGAGGTCCGCGAAGCGCTGACCAGGGCTCCTGAGCCAAAGGCACCAGTCTACAGCCTTAGCAGCGTTTCCACGACCCCGCAAGCAAAGAGCTGGTATCCAATGCGTTGGGACCCACCGTCGCCACCAGGAGGAGGCGAAGGATGACGTCGTCGTCGTCGATGCCCGAGCGGTGGCCAGCCTCCCGCCCGAGGAGCCAGATCTGCGTGCTGCTCGCCATGGAGGCCCGCGAGGAGGGCGCCGCAGAGAAGGCGCGCCGGCCCTCGCCCGCTCCCGCGTGGCAAGGCCTCGGCGTGCCGCGGCGGTCGCACGACCACCGCGACCACGACGACCACGACGACGACGACGACGACGACGACGACGACGACGACCACGACGACGACGACGACGACCACGACGACCACGACGACGACGACGACGACGACGACGACGACCACGACGACGACGACGACGACGACGACGACGACGACGGCGACGACGACCACGACGGCGACGGCGACGGCGGCGGAGGCTGCGGCGGCGGCGGCGGCGACGGCGGCGGCGGGGGGGACGACGGCAGCGACCGGCCCGCGCCGCCGTCGGGGCGTCGGCGTGCCCGCGGCGGTCTGCCCTTGCGGCTGGCTGGGCGAGATCGGGCAGCGTGGGCCCCACGAGGGGGAAGTTCGGCGGCGAGCTCGCAGGAAGTTCCGGGAGGGCCTCAGGACGCCCCAGGAGGAGGAGGAGGACGAGGAGGAGGAGGAGACAACAGGGGGCCCCAGGAGGTTCCAGGAGGCCTCGTGAGGCCTCAGGACTCCCCAAAAAGCCCCAGGAGCCTTCAGGAGGCCCCGGGAGTCCCCAGGAGCCCCCAAGAGGCACCAGGAAGCACCAGAAGTGAGAAGGAGAACGCCTTCTCAGAAGGCGGCGGGACTTCTCAGAAGCCCTCGCGCCTGTCCTAATTTCGACGCCAGGCCCTGACCGCTGAAGATATCCGCAGTGCTGATCTGGCTTGTCACTCGGCATCGCTCGGACGTGTGCATGTTTTTCGGCAAGGGCCATCGAAGAGCATCGAGGCTCATCTTGCGAAAAATCACGGCACGAAACCGACACATGCACGGGGAATGGACGTCCGAACGATGGCAAGGTAATGGTTGGGCTCCAGCTATGCGCCGTTGGAGCCTTTGGGAAGGTGGTCCAGGGATGGTAGGCACCCCTGACGCGGGCCAGAAGAAGATGAGCAATAAGGACAGGCACCAGTCTCGCGACGGTTCCCGTCGCAGCCCTGCTGTTGGCCCGAGTATGGGGGGCAGCGGCATAATGCAGCGCCAGCGGGTTCTTTCTGCTCCTCTGAGCAAGCTGTGGCTTGGCCTGCTCTGAGCCCAAATGCCCAGAGGATGCTGGACGGCGTGTGCCGAGCCATCGCGCCCACGTCCGATTCTCAGGGGCTGTCAGTGGTAGGGGCAGCCGGCGCCTCTGGACTCAGGGGTGCGACCATGGCTCGGCAGCAGTGATGAGCATGTGCCACTCGCTTTCTGGGCCCAGCCAGACTTTCTTCGCCAACGGAGCCTCGAGCTTCAGCGCACGCGGAAGCATTTCGATAGAGAGAGTTCGTTCCTTCCTTGCTTCCCCCACCATATTCTTTCCCCTCCCCCTCCCGCGCCTCCCTCTGTCCTTCCCTGCTCTTAATCGTCGCCCGTCGATCCTGAGTTCGGAGCTGCTCAATTTCGTCAAGAGATCAACAAGTGGTTGTGGTTGCATGTGTGTGTGCGTGTGTCAAGTTGCATGTGCCCCCCCATGCGGCGGTTTCCCACCTGCAGGCCGAGAGGCTGCAGGACAAATACAGGGACACCTTCAGGGAGATTGTGCAGGGCTCAGTCGTTCCGCATCGTGGCGTTCGTTCCTGGAGTCGCTGGATGCGGCCTCTTTAGGACAGATGCCTATACACATACATACATACATACATACATGCATGCATGCATGCATGCATGCATGCATGCAGACAGACAGACAGACAGACAGACAGACAGACAGACAGACAGACATACAGACGTACATATATACCTACATCCATACATACATACATACATACATGCATACATACATACATACATACATACATACATGCATGCATACATACATACACACACATACATACATACATACATACATACATACATACATACATACACACACACACATACATACATACATACATACATACATACATACACACATACATACATACATACATACATCCATACATACATACATACATACATGCATACATACATACATACATACATACACACATACATACATATTACAAATACGTCAGGCAAAGGTGTTGCGAGTTTCCTGGGCACTTGCTTCCCTTGGTTAACACTTCGCTTCGCACCCCCTTTGCACGTTCGCCGGCGTATTTGTATTCCGACATGGCTCCCCGATCGTAAAACGCAAGCATGACAGGTTGCATTCTCTGGAGCGTGCAGAATGAATACATCTACGTCGCAGTATGATTGCGCGGTGGCGTCAGAAGAAGGGGTCCGGGCCGCCTTAAATCTTCGTGTAGGTGCGTGTGGGTGCGCAGCCGAAGTGCAGCTCCGCCGCGCGATTTTTCTGTCATTGTCGACGCCCTGCGATCTTCGGCGGCGAGCGAGGGGGGGAAGTGAGAAGGGGCGGGCCTCCTCAGAAAGCTCGGAAGTCCCTGGGCCTTCTGAGAAGTGCTCTACGCTTTCCCCGAAGGCACAGAACATGTCACAGAGGGCGCGAGGGCTTCTGAGAAGTGCGGCCGCCTCCTGAGAAGGCCATCTCCTCCTCGCTCGCCGCCGAGTCTTTGTCGACGCCCCGTGGTCCGCCCCACCACCTGCCGCGACCCGCGCCCAGCCGCGGCCCGCGTCACGCACCCGCACCACGACCCGTTGGCGATCCGCCGGCGAGCCGCCGCCGGCGATGCGTCGCCCGCCGCGCACCTTCGCCCGCCGCGACTAGCGAACCCCGCAGCATTTCCCCCTCCTCCTCCTCCTCCTCCTCCTCCTCCTCCTCTACACCAGGGAAAACTTCGAGCACCAGGAAAGTTCGAGGGAGGGAACGCCCCACCCAGACCCCGACAACTGGCGTTTCCTGAGCAGCCCTGGGCGTTTCCTAAACAGCCCCGCGCTGTTCGATTCCTTCCCTGGGGCGCGTTTCCTGAGCGGTTTAGCTTGTCGGAGTGCTGACTATGGGAATGGATTTTCTGCCCTCCAAACGTACCCAAACTGGAGGGTTTTCACATGTCGGGCCCTGGGAGGCGATGGGTGCTCGAAATACTTCTAGATACTTCTAGGGTGCTCGAAATCGAGCAGTCGAGCAGTCTAGATACTTCCCTGGGTGCTCGAAATTATGTCTGAGAAGTGGCCCTTCCGCACGATGGGAGCAACATGGCACTGGAGGGTGAAGCTTCAGGCCAGGCAGCCTTGTGGGATACATCCCGAGGCCTGCAGCGCCCGATGCCCGCAGCGGGCCCACCGCCGCGACCAGGACCCAAGGGGAATTGTATTTTTCGCGTTCTCCAGGAGGGAAGAAAACACACTCAGCACGATGGGAATGGCCCTTCAGTACGATGGGCGCAACATGACCCCAGCGCCCCCCTTTACCCGCCCCGTGGCTCGGCGACGCGGGCGAGCGCGCGGTCGAAGCGCCGATGCCGCCGCGACCTGTGCAATTCACGAGCCCAGAGCCTACCTCCCCGTGCCTACTTACGACAGATGGCCCATCGAGGCCCGATTTTCAGACACGGCTCTAAGGAACCCAGTGTATACTGTCCATATTATCCATGTTACGTAAGGTCGCGTTCATTGGCGTAGCAGGTTCTTTTTTATGCCTCTGTTTGTAGCCTAGCCATGCTCAGTGGCCTCCCAAAGGTGCTCTAGAGAGCCCCAAGCCCGAGAGGCTTCTTTTTCAGTGTTCCACGCGTTTCCCAAGACGTTTCCTCCGAAACCGTCTTGGCTCAAGCTTGTTGTATAGCAGCGAGAGGCTGCTAGACCATTGGCTTGCGACCTGAGCCGCAGCACAGCGAACTGGCCCGCTGACAAACAAGTTCCTGTGCCGGGTCATCGTGCGTCCAGCGACGCATTCCCCCATTGCCCCGCACATCCACAAACGTCAATCAGGATATCGAGGAGATTAGCATTCAGAGGAGTCTGGAAGATTTATCAGAGGGCAATGGTTCGAGACGGGCCATTGCATGGTAGCGGAGTTTTCGAGCTCCACTGACGTACAACATGATTAAGAATTCCGATGACATCATTCCTAAGTGGAATGGAGACCTCACCACGGTGGACGACTACGAGAGGGACGTCAACGGCTACGTTCGTGCGGCACGACGTGACGAACGTTACGTACGTGGACCGAGGCTCGGGCGAAAGCTAGTGGGCCGCGCTCGATAGGCAGCCAGAGATATTGACTGGGACGAGCTCGAGGCTGTTAACGGCGCGGACTTCCTGCTAGGACACATCGGGCCGAAGCTCGGCTCTCAACCGATTCAAGATGCTGGAAAGGATCTGGCGAGATGGATCTTCGACTTGCGCAGGGATAACGGCGAGCCAATGCCGAGCTACATCAGCAGGGACGACGGAGCCCACCCCGATGAGGTCAAGGGTTCGACACTGAGTATTTCAAGCGCCAAAGGATGGAGCGGCTTTCCGCTTGGGCCAAGGAGTGGAACTCCCCCCGTCAAGGGCCGAACTCGTTCCTCAACAAGATAGCATGCGAGGGCCCGGGCGACGCCGCAGACGAGGCCAATCGACTCAACGACTGGCTGCGGAACTCCAATAGACTGGCTTCGAGGAGATACCAGAACATCCCGACGTTGGCACGAACTTCCAGCAGGCGATCCCACTGGATCAACTACGTGGCCGGATATTTATACAGTGTTCGCGGCTAGCGCCGACCTGAGCGCGCAGCTGTCATCGGCCTCGCCAAGGGGAGCTTCAACTATATGGGCATCGGCGAGCAGCTGCGAGTATCGTGGCCAGATGACGAGCGGACGAACCGCGGCAGAAATGGGGAAGGAGCATCAAGGTCGCCATCGAGACCGCGGGCGCGCCCGCGCCGGATGGGGCCAAGACGGGGAATAACCCGAGGCTGAAGAGCATATCTAGTACGAACAGTCCGAGACGTCGGTCGGCGCCGAGAACGAGGGCGACGACAGCCCGGAGGGGCCGCTCTACAGCGCTGAGGAGACCGAGCAGGCAGAGCAGGCCTTCGCCGCTCAGCAGCGCAGTTCTGAAGAAGCTCGAGATCTCCTTCGACGCGCGAAGACAACCGGGAAGTTCTGCCCCGCGGATGAGTAGAAGAAGGAAGGTCACCGCGACAGCGCCTTCAAGGGGACGGCGCTCTACGAGAGACCCGAGGCCAAACAGCGAGCCGTTCGACAGGGGCAAGAGAACATCATCCAGAGACCAGAAGGCGAAGACAAGTCGCAGAGGACCCTGTCTGAAGTGTGGCCGCAACCACGAGACGAAGGATCGCAGTCCGAGGAGCCAGTCTGCCGACCGCGATCGCGGACCGAAGAAGGGCATATCCTCGGTCGTGTTCGACGACGTCCAGCGCGACGCCGAGATGGAGGTGGCGATGATCGAGCTCGACAGGCCGCTGCGCGAGCTGGAGGGCGCGCTGAGCAAGCCGGAGGTTCCGAGGCGCCACGACGAGAAGCTCCCGATCCTGGCCGCGCTAGCAGAGACGAACGGCTGGATGCTGATGAGCGCGCTGGAGAGCGCCCACAGGGGCTTCGGCATGCTGGACATCGGCGCTACATCCCCCGTCATCGGGATCCAACCTGCCGAGGAGCTGCGCGACCTGATCTACGACGCGACGGGCAAGAACATCAATATGGACACTTCGCAGAAGACGACGTTCATCTGCGGCGGCGGCAACTCCAAGACCTGCGTTGGCATGACGGCGCCCCCGATGAACACTGCCGGTGCTGACGGCGACCTGTTCATTCACATCCTGGGCGCCGATGATCCGTTGCTGATCGGAGCCGGCGTTCTACGACGGCTCGGGGCCGCGATCGACTGCGCGAAAAACGGGATCTATTTCAAGAAGTTCGGTCGCCGAGCTCAGCTGCTCTCTTTTTTTTGTTTTTTGTTTCTCTCTCTCTCTCTCTCCCTCTCTCTCTATCTCTCTCTCTCTCTCTTTCTCTCTCTCTCTCTCTCTCTCTCTCTCCCCCTCTCTCTCTCTCTCTCTCTCTTTCTCTCTTTCTTTCTTTTTTTGTTTCTCTCTCTCTCTCTTTCTCTCTTTCTTTCTTTTTTTGTTTCTCTCTCTCTCTCTCTCTCTCTCTCTCTTTTTCTTTTTTTGTTCTCTCTCTCTCTCTCTCTCTCTCTCTCTCTCTCTCTCTCTCTTCCGAGCGGCCAGTCTGCGCTGGCTTCAGTGGCCGAAGCTGACTTCGGCTTCGCGACGACCCTGGAATAGGAGGTCGCGCCCCCCCTCGAATAGGAGGTCGCGCGAGACGGATTGCTGCGCGGGTGCTGGATGGTAACACAAACATAGAGCAGTCGCCAGAACGCTATGCCATACGAGATCCCCTACACATGAGCCCAAGGCCCGGGAAGCCCAATATGATCCTCCAGAGGCCCCAAGACGAGTCCACCTAAGACCGCTGCTTCGGGTACGTCTTGGATGCATACCGCACCATGGTTGACGGAATCATCCAGATCATCAACGGGTTTCGGAAGATCACAGATGGCGACTCTTGGAATTTCGGATACGTAAGCCTCTAGTACGTCAGAAACGGCATCTCCGAGACCTATTACGGCTACTCCCGGGAATCCGATTACGGAAACTTCGGATCCCCAAAAGGCAGACACTTCCTGGGGAAATTTCA